AATTGCGTCGAAACAGGTTTATTATCTCTGAATGACCGCTTCCTTCACCCTACCCCGTACCACGAGACACGCTTAGCGCATAACGATACATAATCTATAAAGAAATGTATGGAAGAAATAACTGTCGTTTTGTTTCGATGTTAACATAATACTTGAGGTCAATGTACTTTTTTCCACCTGCCCTAGAAACATACTATAGATGATGAGCGAGGGACATGATCCGGCGGTAACCCCCCCGCGCTTTACGGTAACAAGTTTCAACATAAATTGGTTAGGTACCGAAATGTATCTGCCCAACAATGTTAGGCCGAATATTCGGTTCGGTAAAATTTTTACCAAACTTTCGGCCGAATATTCGTATTCGGTGAAATCCATATTCGGCACATCTCTAATAAAAACGCCAGATTCTGTAATTCATTCATATAAATGTATTTAGTTTAGCGGCGGATATGTATAGGATACTAAAGCAGTAAATGTAGCTTACTAACTAGATATAAGAGTAGATAATATAGCGTCACTAAGCTAGTATAAAAGTATATACAGAGTGTCCATTTAATAGTGGTCCAAACGAATTGTGGCGAGAGATGAGACCGTGCCCTGTGAGAGCAGCCAATATATATAATAATAATAATAATAATAATAGTTTATGGATTTTCATGATTTTATCGAAGATTTATCACCTCACGTATAATTTATACCATTCTATTGAAATAGCGAAAACGTATTTTTTATTGAATATTATTTCTGACTACATGTGTAACTGCATGTTTATTGCAGTTTCCTAAGTCCTAACCATAGAATACTATAATTACACACATAATAGAACGGGGGAGTGGCCGGAGCCCGTGTAGCCACTAAAATGTCACTAACACGTCAATTCACACGTATAAATGTCAACACGAGATGTATTTTGACGTTACAATTGTTTCCAAATTTCTCATGCAAATTATTTAGAAAATGCCAAATTACACGCTATTTACAAATAAATACGTATTAAAATCTGTATGTCAACACAGCGATTCGGGTTGGTAATAGTGATAATACTACGTTTACTTACGTACGTTTTTTATTTTATTGTTTTTAAATTTTCATTCATTGCACTATTTTTCAAGCCAATGGGCATTTAGGATGTAGTACCTTTTTTAACACCACAGTATCTTAAACTTGGATCAAACATCTTGTCTCGTAGAAATTTGCAACTGTAACATTTTTCCTAAAGAAACCGTTCATGTTGTTAGGACTTACGAAACTGTAATAGACATGCAGTTAGACATCTAGTCGGAAATAATATTCAATAAAAAGTTTTTTTTTTCGTTATGTCAATAGAATGGTATAAATTATACGTATTAAAGGTGATAAATTTTCCATAAAATGATGAAAATCAAAAATCTTGAAAACTGCAACTGTTTTATTAAAAAAATAACCTGTTCTCACAGGGCTCGGTCTCATCTCTCGCCACATTGCGTTTGAACTATTATTAGCAGGACAGCCTGTATATATAGTACTACTAAGCTACAATTAGAGTATATATAGTGCTCCTAAGCTAGTGTGGCCGTGGAAGGAAAAGGGGAGATCTCCCGCCAGGCAAGGTGTTCTGTCCGGGGAGCGGCCAACATTCCGTGTGATAGTTCGGAGATGTTCTATATATGCTGTTTATGATTCGGAATGTTGATAGCGTGATTTAGGCTTCGGTTTGTTTCGCTTGCGGCGCTAGGACAGCGCCGCCACATCACCCCCCTGCTCAAACCAGAGGTCGATAGTGCAGTCCGATTGCCGGTGCGTCCTTAATGCCGGTGGGGAATGCATGCTGTGCGCGTAAGAGCAAGTGACACCGGTGCGAATGATATGCCGATTTGTAATGCATGCCGTACTACGCACTGGCAAGTGATGCCGGTGAGAACGATGTGCCGGAGCAAGTGCCAGAAGTCTGCCTTATAGTGGTCGAGACGAAGACAAGTTGGACTGGCTTGCAGGAACTGAAGACTGCAGAAGACGATTCTCAGTAGTGACTGGTAGGGGTTCTTGAGGATATTGACGAAGGCTTGAAGTTGTAGTTTCCGAAGGTTGTTGGTTGCATGTTCTGATCACGTCGGGTGGTCACCACTGTGGCCGTGGAAGGAAAAGGGGAGATCTCCCGCCGGGCAAGGTGTTCTGCCCGGGGAGCGGCCAACACTCCGTGAGATAGTTCGGAGATGTTCTATATATGCTGTTTATGATTCGGAATGTTGATAGCGTGATTTAGGTTTCGGTATGTTTCGCTTGCGGCGCGACGACAGCGCCGCCACACTAGTATAAAAGTAGATATAGTGCTTCCTAAGATGGAATAAGAATAAATATAGTGCTACTAAGCTATTGTAAGAATAGATATAGTATTACTAAGCTAGTATAAGAGTAACTCACGTGTAAGAGCCGGGCAAGTTACGGCAACGACCGGGCCCACAGTTGACCAGCGCTGCACCGCACTCGTCCACGTCAGTCTCGCAGCGCGCACCCGTCCAACCTGCAACGTACAAACACACACAACATACAACATCTGTTACATGTAAGGCTTTGATAAAACATATAGGAACGGAATATATATATAGTATATGAGGTATTATATAATATGTATAAGGTATGCAGGGTAGTAAGTTAGGACAGTTTTTGTGTATAATATGTCGCAGCCAACTAGCTTAGCCTTCAGTTTTTCAGTTAACAGTGTAAACACTACATGGCATGGCCACTATATTAATTTCACTCAACGAGACGGTCGTACAAAAAGCACAAAATCCATCTCGTAACTGAATGCTGTACCTGTAGACTTCATCTTCCTTCCTGTAAAATTCATCTATCCTTATTACAAATGAAAGTAAATTGCCAGCCACTGAGGACTATGATCGAATGCCTCGCTATCAGTACAAAAAGTGTCGAATCTCGTTGCTCGATATACGAAAGCATTATGCAGCTATTTTATGCCGTATTCCATGCCAGCATGGTCCTTCCCCAGTCGACCTAACTCATATGCACTGCAGCGTAACTCTATCACATAACAGATTCATGCATCTGATAATTTAGTAAAAGGTACTATTTTTTACCCCCCGACGAAAACAGGGGAATTTTATATGTTTGTATAGTGTATCTGTCTACGTGTGTCTGTCTGTGGCATCATAGCTCCTGAACAGATGAACTGGTTTTAATTAAGTTTTTTGTTTGAAAGGAAAAAAATTATCGAGAACGAGAACCTTAATCGAGTGTTCTCAGCTATGCGATATGTTGTGATCTCAGCAATCTGTTCAGCCGTTCATCATCAGCTCTTTTTGTTTCAGGGGTTTGTTTTGCATTTTTTAATTTTAGATATTTAATTAGCCCTTTATCCTCTCAACTGTCCCGGCCAAAATGCCTGCTTTGGCGCATCTGTCCAACCCTAAACGAGTGATTTATTGCCTACGTGGCGCGTGTCATTAAAATGGCAATATCTTAATAATTATGTATGGAACTGCGTTGGAAGACGTTTTCAAGCTACTGGACTGGAAAGTACACGGTATTAACATCAATGGCGAGTACATTACTCACCTTCGATTTGCCGACGATATAGTCCTTATGGCAGAATCGTTGGAGGACCTTAGAGCACTATGCTCAATGAACTCAATGGTGTCTCCCAACGGATAGGTTTTAAGATGAACATGGACAAAACAAAGATCATGTTTAATGTCACACCTATGCCGGTAGTTGTTGGGAGCACTAAGCTCGAAGTTGTGTACGAGTACGTATACCTGGGACAAATAGTCCGACTAGGTAAGTCCAACTTCGACCGAGAGGTCAATCGACGGATTCAACTCGGCTGGGCAGCGTTCGGGAAATTACGACACATCTTCTCGTCAGGTATACCTCAATCTCTGAAAACTAAAGTGTATAACCAGTGCGTGTTGCCAGTAATGACTTACGGATCTGAGACGTGGTCCTTCACTATTGACCGTATGAGGACGCTCAAGGTCGCTCAGCGAGCTATGGAGAGGGCTATGGTCGGAGTTTATATGCGTGATAGACTCAGAAATGAGAATATCCACAGTAAAACCAGAGTGACCGACATAGCGCAACGGATTAGTAAGCTGAAGTGGCAATGGGCCGGCCATATAGTTCGAAGAACCGATAACCGATGGGGAAGAAAGGTTCTCCAGTGGCAGCCTCGTACCGGTAGGCGTAGTATAGGGCGACCCCCCACTGGATGGAGTGACGACCTGGTAAGACATGCAGGAAGCCTTGGGGGTGGCCTATGTTCAGCAGTGGACTTGTGAAGGGCTGTAATGATGATAATGATGATGAAAACTGTATAAAATAATATGTTGTTAGAATTATTGTTGAGTAAGCTAATAGAATATGTGTAAATGTTCACCTTTTTTATATTTTCTAAATTCCATAACAAAAATGCTAGAAGAGATTTTTTTCCAGTTTGTTGAGTAAATAATGTAAAAAAAATAATTATTATTTCAATAAATATTTATTTTATTTACAATAAGATTAAACTTTACAATAATTGATTAAAAAAACACAACTCTGCGTACATTTTTTTTACACTACAAGCTTGACAATAATGTGGGCCACTTAAGATGACCCCAAACAGGCACAAAAAAGGCACATTTTGTACTTCAATAGCGACAATTCTATATAAAAATAAGTAGGTTCATGATATTAAAACAATTTTGTACGAGTTAGAGGGAGATACTTATACATTTACTACGGCTGTTTCGTGTCTGAAGTTTATAAGTAAATAGTAACCTTCTAAAGGTTGTGGACAAACGCGTACTTTTTTAATAGCGACCTTTAGAAGTGTTTGGACTGACGAGAGGTTATATATTACAATTATACAACAAAGGTCACATGCAACAATAGTGCCTTCAAACAACACACGTGTAACAATGTCTTCGAGAATCATTATGCAAACAGAGGCGGCGTAAGGGGTGGGCGACGTGGGCCACCGCCTACGGCATCGCGCCCTGGAGGTTTATGTATACTTAAAACCGTAAACGCGCCGAAAAAATTTCATTGTCATGAATCGATATTATTGACATAACTAAATATGTTTTTGTTCAGTCTAGCAACATTAGTTTGCGTTGCTATTACGGGGAATCCCCGCTGCGGGGCGACCAGTATATATACAGTAATCTATGGGAGCGACAAAGGCTGAGGATTCCCAGTTCTGTTTGTTAGACATAGAATACTGATTTTATTTAATCGTGGGCGTGTGGCAATCGAGTATAGAGTGCGGTACAGCAGCCCATGTGGTTGCTGTACCTACGTATATTTTCGCGCTGTACGCACATGAGTAGATAAACGGAACAGACACAAAGCTTCAAAATTGTTACCTATTTTGGTAGTGTTGTCACTATAGGTGAAGACAAATTAAAGCTCTAGAACGTTTACGTACATTTTGTGACTGGCTTAAAGAACATGGACAAACTTGTTTCGAAAAATTGTCTGGTATTTAAAAGTTTATTGAAAAAAACTCTGTTATGATCTGCCAAAACAATTTAAAAATAAGAGTAGCCAAAAAGAAAAAGATGTTGGATTATAAAGTTAAAGATTAACCTATACAGTCTCCTAAAAGTCGGTATTAAACAATTTTTTTTCAGTACCGTGCTTGTTCAATTATAACAAATATGGATTTGAGATTTATGGCTTTAAACCCACATTATGAAAATTTTGGTTTCCTTTATGATTTAAAAAGTTAAAAAATATTCCAAACCATCTAATATTAAAATAACTGTCAAGATTTACACACAGCCTGCGAGTGGGTGAAAGCAGTGACTTTCAACCTTACGAATTATGTGAAGAATTACAATTAATGATCTATAATTTGCCTAACTTCGTAACAGATGTGAAACAGCTTCTCCAATAAGTTACAGAAATTAATTTAAAAAAATATACCGAAACATTTACATCGTCATTTATCAATACCGTCATGTTTAACAATACCGATCAGTACAGCCTCCGCTGAAGGAAGCTTCTTAAAATTAGTACTCATTAAAATTATCTCAGAAATGCAATGTCACAGAAAAGACTTTCAGCGTTGAAAGTTTTATCGATCAAGGCAGATATAGCATCCAATCTGAATTATAAGGCTAAAATTAAACAATTCAGCAGGATAAAAAGCAGAATATCTATTTCTTCATTTTTATTTGAAATTGTTTGGTGTTGGTACTTAATGATTTTGTAAAAATAAAAATTTCATAATGTCAAGTGTTTTGTTTTTCATTTTATATATTCCGTCTTCTTGCGCGGGCAGAGGGCCTCGCAAAATGTATCTTGCCCACATAAAATTTAGGTCTTGCGCCGCCACTGTATGCAAATGTACTTCCAACCCCTTCTTCTTCCACGAACAAGCCGGTTACCGAAAAGTCTTTAGTAACATAAACATACTCTTCAAAAATTTGTACACAATACTTTATTGCACGCCTCACAACGCGCGAGCTTGTGGGAAAACTCTACTCTCGAAATGTGACGATTTTGCAATATAAAATTGTGTTTCTGAATTTAGACACTAAATCAATAAAAAAGGGGATGTTTTGAAAACTAGATATATTAAATTATAAAGTCGGCGTATTTTTTTTTAATTATTTGTTTAGTTATATTTGTAAAAAATTTAATAAAAATGTAATAAAAACTTAGTGCGGCTGCCAGCCTGTGCACTCGTGTGTTCACGTTTTACAAAAATACACCGCAACAAGTGAGATAAATATTGTTGAATAATGTCCATTTATCCACAGGATGGTCCCTACTGCTGGTTGTTATCACTCATAGCCGTTTTAAATATTTTTTTTTAATTAAAATTCCACTTGTTTTTAATGAAAAAAATAAAAAGCTCATGAGGTGTGCACTTTTGGATTTTACAAACTATCTTTGGTATATGGATTCTGCCGAAATTTTGGCGGTGCTACAGTTCCTTCAGTAGTGCACAATTTGTGTAGCTGAAATGTTTGTACAACGGGGCTACGATGGTTATTCGATACAGAAACTGGAGGATAGATGTAGATGTCTCTGGCCACTGCCACTGACCATCAGGAGGACTACGTGCACGTTTATCACTCATATTCTAATAAAAAAACTACATTGAAACATGTATTTACACAGTTCAAAGTATTGCTGTGCCTGAATTCTTACTATTATTAAGATCAACATGAAACAAGTATGGAATAAACTAAGTATTGAGTACTAGAGGTTTTTTTATACTATAAAGAAAAATGAAGTAAAAACAAAGGAAAAAAAACACTGAAAATAGGCTTTTATAAAAATTATGCAGCCATCGAGGCGTCACAAATATCTCGTGAACGCAGTTTACAAGGTTAGTGAGCACCTGATCAAGTACCTAGTGCCGAGGCAGTTACCGTAACGAGGAATTCTTTGGTAGGTTTACATTAAAGAATTGTTTAATAAGGGTTATTATACTACTAAAGAGTATATGATTGATGATGATCCTTAGGAATGAGGTGATCTCTACCATGCTGTTGATAAATGTTTTCAAAT